ACAGCCAGTCTCTCCACTTCCTGGTCCTTCTCCCTACACTGCGCCGACGGGAGGTCTTACGGAGCGTCGTGAGCCTGAGTCTCGTCCTCCGTCGCCTGAGACGCGTCCAGAGTCGCCTGTCCGCGCTGTCCGCGCTGGTCGTCGTGTTCCACGTCAGCGTCCTCCTCCTGTCCTTGGCACTCACTATATGACCCTGCGTCCCTCTACTGCTCCACAGCGTGTCCCACTGCCGTCTCCACCAGCGTCCTCTCTTCCTGCTCTTGCTGACCCGGAGTCTGACTCTCTTCGTGCTGCCAATCCTACTGTCACGCGTCTCCTTGCCACTGCTGTCACTGACCCTTCCTTTGAGTCCTCTGCTGCGTCTGCTCTAGTCGCTGAGCTTGTTGACTTTGCTGCTGCCTGTCGTCTAGACTACGACGCTAGCCTTGTTGCTGAGTCTGAGTCTGAGTCTGTCTGTCCTCCGTCTGTCGGGGGTGAGTGTGCTCTTGGCACGGACGTCCTTGAGGACAGACAGGAGGAGTTTGAGTGCTTTGCCGCTGCTTTGCCTCATCTCGTGTCCATGCTAGTTGCCCCTGAGGGAGACCCGGATGCACCAGACATCCCGACCCCACGCTCCTACGCAGAGGCGATGGAGGGTCCCTACTCCTCTCAGTGGCAGACAGCCATGGACGCAGAGATGGCATCCTGGAAGTCCACAGGCACCTACGTCGACGAGGTTCCCCCACCTGGGGCGAACATCGTCAGTGGCATGTGGATTTTCAGGGTGAAGCGGCCGCCGGGTTCTCCGCCTGTCTTCAAGGCGCGTTACGTTGCACGAGGCTTCAGTCAGCGAGAGGGAGTTGACTTCTTCCAGACCTTCTCCCCGACCCCGAAGATGACCACTCTTCGGGTTCTGCTGCACGTCGCTGCTCAGCGTGACTACGAGCTCCACTCTCTTGACTTCAGCACTGCGTTCTTACAGGGCAGCCAGCACGAGGAGATCTGGCTGCGCCGCCCACCTGGCTTCACTGGGTCGTTCCCTCCTGGTACCCAGTGGAGCCTCCGGCGGCCAGTCTACGGTCTCCGCCAGGCACCCCGTGAGTGGCACGACACACTGAGGACTACTCTTGCTGCTCTTGGGTTTGCTCCTTTTACTGCTGACCCGTCGCTGTTTCTACGCACCGACACCACTCTGCCGCCGTTCTACGTTCTTGTTTACGTAGACGACTTGGTCTTTGCTACTGCTGACACTGAGGCACTCGCCCACGTGAAGTCGGAGCTGCAGAAGAGACACACGTGCACAGACCTGGGTGAGCTGACAAGCTATCTTGGCTTGCGGATCACCCGGGACAGAGCACAGCGCACCATCACCTTGACTCAGTCACACATGGTGCAGCAGGTCCTTCAGCGCTTCCGCTTCACGTACTCCTCGCCTCAGCCCACTCCTCTGCCTACCGGTCACTCGCTCTCAGCTCTGCCTTCGGATGAGTCCGGCGAGCCGAGTGGCCCGTATCCAGAGCTTGTGGGCTGCCTCATGTACCTGATGACCTGCACTCGACCTGACCTGGCATACCCTCTTAGCATCCTAGCACGCTATGTCGCTCCCGGCCGTCACCGGAAGGAGCACATGGATGCCGCTAAGAGGGTGTTGCGCTACTTGTGCAGTACGTCGGGCATGGGGCTCGTGCTTGGAGGTCGGAGCGACGTTGTCCTCACGGGTCACTCAGACGCTTCTTGGGCTGACGACCAGGCTACGCAGCGGTCGTCTCAGGGTTACACCTTCAGCCTTGGCTCTGGTTCAGTTTCTTGGCGTTCTACTCGCTCTTCTTCTGTTCTCAGCTCCAGTTGTGAGGCTGAGATCTACGCCACAGCCATGGCTGCACAGGAGTTACGCTGGCTCACCTACCTGCTGACCGACCTGGGAGAGCGGCCTCGTTCTCCTCCAGTGCTGTACGTTGACAACAAGGCCGCCATTGCCTTGTGTGAGGAGCACAGACTGGAGCACAGGACGAAGCACATCGCTCTGCGCTACTTCCTTGCTCGAGAGCTGCAGCAGCGTGGTCAGCTTCGTCTGCGTTACGTGGCCACTCGGGCCAACACTGCTGATGTGTTCACCAAGGCGCTTCAGCCTTGTGACCATCAGCATTTCTGTACTGTTCTAGGCCTTGTGCCTACTCTCCCTCACTTGCTCACTTCTTGACTCTGCTTGTACTGTGATCTCTATACATATATACCTGCATGTTTACTCTTGTTAGGTTGTGATCAGTGTACCTCTTGTTATATTATCAAACTGCATGTGAACTGGTCTTGTGACCACTTGCTTGTGCTCGGAATTTGTGTGGTTTCCTTGAGATCCACCCTGAGCTTGGTTTGCTTTGCTTTGACTGGTCTTGTGACCATCTGGTTGTCTCCCACTTAGCCTATGGGGGTGTGTCAAACATTATACATGTTCATATTGTGTAGGCTATAGTGGGTTTAGCCTTAGGGGGTACAACATTGCTAGGGTTTCCTACTTGTATCACCCTGCTGCCTAGTTTCACACATTCTCGTTCAGTTCTACATTCTAACAGCACTTGACATGACGAATTCCCAGTATAAGGTAAAAACAAACAAACAAGCTGTGGGACCTAGCATTCCTACCTGCCTAAGTATCACTTTTACGGCCGTTGCTCTCAACGGCTGGGCCACTTCTGATTCCCGCCTGCTTGCCGATCTCTTGACTTCCTAGCCGAACCTCCCTTTGGTTTCCCTCCTTCCAAGCCTCCTGACACGCCTCGCCTGGTTCCCTTGCCGTGCCCCTTGGTTCTGTCCCTTTACAGTGGGACTCGCTTCTATTCTAGCTATGGTCACTCATTTATATATAGTTTGCTCATCAGTCTATGCATGCTATCTTAAATGCGTGACAACTCTGAGCGGCAGGAGCAACGGACCCACGGGCGACTGGCGCAGCAGGCTCGCTGGGCTACCGGAGCAGAGCCCCGGACTACTGGCGCTGCTGACGACACGACGGCAGCCTCCGCTCAACCTCCCCCAACTGTCCCACCCCCCTTTCACACACCCCTTGCTGCACCCCTAGCTCCACTCCCACGTCACCCCCCTAACGCCACTCCCTCGGCTCCCACACACCCACCCCCCTCAACGGCAGCTGCAGCAGTGGGAGACGGAGGAGGAGGAGGAGCAGGGGACGGCTCACACACCCGCCACCCCCATACCCGCCACCCCCATACCCCCAACGCAGGGCAGAAACGCGGGCAGCAGCTGGGGCGGCGTGTGAGCGGAAGCGGGGCGGCGCGCGGGCCCCCAGGGCGCCTCGACGAGCGACGGGAGGGGGCGACGCGCAGGCCCCCAGGGCGCCGCGACGGGCGACGGGCAGGGCGGCGCGCGGGCCGCCAGGGCGCCGCGACGGGCGACGGGAGGGGGCGACGCGCGGGCCCCCAGGGCGCCGCGACGGGCGACGGGCAAGGGGGGGCGCGCGGGCCCCCAGGGCGCCGCGACGGGCGACGGTATGGCGGGGGCCGCGCACGGGCCCCCAGGGCGACGCGACGGGATCGCGGGGGGCGCGCGCGGCTCCCCAGGGGCGACGCGACAGTCGACAGGGGGGGACGCGCGGGTCCCCGGGGGCGGCGCGACGGTCGACGGGGGGGACGCGCGGGTCCCCGGGGTGACGCGCGAGGCAGGATACCGCCGCGCGCCTCGGGGCGCACGGCGGGCAGAAAACCGCCGCGCGCCCCGAGCGCGCGGCGGGCAGAAAACCGCCATGCGCCCCGAGCGCGTGGCGGGAAGAAAAAAAAAACGTCGTGCACCACGGGGCGCGCGACAGACAGGAAAGCAGCGGAAGCAAGTGGGCCCACAGGCCAAGAGCGTAGTCGCTCTGATAGCATGTCAGAATCACAGCTAGAAAGATAGAACAGAGAAGAGGGTTTGCACTAGCAGGCAGTTGAGTACATATAGGAAACCCTAATTTGGGCTATACTCGCTATAGAGTACCCCACTGCAGGCTATACAAATATCACATTCTGGCACGCGTACCCTCTCAGCCTCCTGGCTCGCTACGTGGCACCCGGTAGACACCGAAAGGTGCACTTTGATGCTGCGAAGAGGGTACTGCGTTACTTGTGCAGTACACCGGGCATGGGGCTCGTGCTTGGAGGACGAAGTTCAGTGGTACTCACAGGACACTCTGACGCTTCTTGGGCCGACGACCAGGGGACTCAGCGTTCGTCACAGGGTTACACCTTCAGTCTTGGCGCTGGTTCTGTCTCGTGGAGGTCCACTCGTTCTTCTTCTGTGCTTGGCTCCAGCTGCGAGGCCGAGATCTACGCTGGGGCCATGGCTGCACAGGAGCTACGCTGGCTGACCTACTTGCTGACCGACTTGGGGGAGCGGCCTCATTCTCCTCCAGTTCTGTACGTCGATAACAAGGCAATGCTTGCCTTGTGTCGCGAGCAGAGACTGGAGCACAGAACGAAGCACATTGCTCTTCGCTACTTCCTTGCGCGTGAGCTGCAGCAGCGTGGTCAGCTGCGCCTTGCTTACGTGGCCTCTCGGGCCAACACTGCTGATGTCTTCACCAAGGCCCTTGGGTCTGGTGATCATCACCGTTTCTGCACTGCTCTTGGGCTTGTCCCCACTCTGCCTCACCTGCTGGTTGCTTGACTTGCTCTTGTTGTACACTGATATATATCTTTATACCTGCATGTTTACTCTTGCTAGGTTGTGATCAGTGTACTGCCTTGCTATTATAACTCTGCATGTGAACTGGCCTTGTGGCCGCTTGCTTGTGCTCAGATTGTGTGGTGTCCTTGAGATCCACCCTGAGCTTTGCTTTGCTTGTTCTCTTGCTTGACTGGTCTTGTGACCGTCTGTTGTGTTTGCTATCTCCCACTTAGCCTATGGGGGTGTGTCAAACTGTATGTTTCTGTTCTCTCTAGGCTATAGTGGGATAGCCTACAAGGGGTACAACACTTTAGGGTTAGGTACTTGTACTCATGCATGCTACCTAGTCCACCATTCCTGCCTGCTTATTCTAACAGCGGCTTCATCTCATCCGTGGTGAACCAACGGGCGGCGACGAAGATCGCGTTCTCCTTATCGGACCACATGGTCTTGTCGCGTGGCGCGTCCACCCGCGCCTTCTTCCTCGAGCGCGGCTTGTCCACAGCAGGAGCCTTCCCCTTGTCCTTGCCGCTGCTCGCGGCCCTGCTTGAAGTCCGGCGTGATGGCGTCTTCACGGGCTGCACCTCCTCCTCGGCGACGTCGTCATCATCCTCCTCATATTCCTCATCTTCGCCTTCGACATCGCCGACCTCCTCTTCCTCATCGTCCTCGTCGGTGCCGTCTCCTTCGTCCTGAAAATCGGAGTCATCATCGTCCTCGTCGTCCTCCGTTTTGGCAGCCCTAGAAGTCGCCACACGCGGTGGCGGTCGGCGCACTCGGGAAGGACCCGCCGCATGCGTCTGCGAATGCGTGCCTTCAGGCACCGCCGCGGCAGGCGGGACGTACGATGCGGGACGACGACCGTTAGCGATCTGGTCGTTCATCCAGCGGATGTAAGGGATTTCGTTAAGGTCGGCAGGGCAGTCATCGCGCTCCGCATTCTTACGCTTACGGACCATGGCGGAGACTGCTAGTTCGTCCTAGCTACGAAAATCGGGAGGTGCAATTGTGATTCTTGACTTGCGCTCGCAGTTTGTGTAGGGGGAGTGGTTCACAACCCTTGCCAGCCAGGAATGGGGTGGGGAAGGGGAGCGTGCATATCGTTTTGGCGGGAAAAAAATGTGCTGGATCTGTGGTCTCTTGATGCCTCGTTTTCGTGCAGGATGGGCAGCAAGGACGAATGTTTTTGGGGTCCCACGTGTAGTTCAGACTAGGGGGCAGTGTCTAGGTTCATGACGCATTGACTTGACATTTCGAGCCGCAACATCGGCTGTGCGATTTCGTGCCAGCATGCAACTCGCTGGCGACAGTACCGTGATTGGCGCTGGCCAACGTAAAATACAGCACACGTCGCACGTGCGCGCTCTGTCATTCGGACATCTGACAGCATATGCTGGATTTGCGCGTCACAAACGTTTGTGACGCGTACTTTTGGGACATGTCACGTCCCGAATGTTCCCTGAGTAAAGGGGGAAATGCATATTGCATAGCAACACAATTGTAGGTTGCAATTATTTCAAGCGCTCTAGCAGCAACTCCGGCTGTAATCTATACAAAACATCATCTTCTGTTCCGCTCTAACTAGTCATCCCCTCCTCTTAGGAGGGGACAGATAGCAACCCTTGATTAATTCTATGTGCAATGCATACTGCACATGTGCACAGATTTCTCCATGGCTAGGAGGCCATGGCAGGCAGGCCTCCAATCCACCGCCCTCCACACCCAGAAATGACTGTCACCTCACCACCGCGCACGTTGTCAACCATAGCTCTCGTCTTCCAGGAATTTCTCAAACTCGGTGCCTTTGAGCTTCGCAGCCACGGCATCGTAGTTCTCAATGGAATCCCTCAGCGGCCGCGTGTGGATCTTCACCTGCTTGCTCGTCAGCTCCTGTGCCGGCACCCCCAAGAAGCGCTGCACATTCTCCAGGATCTGAAGTGAGGGGGGAGAGGGGAAGAGGATGCAAGCGGGGTGAGCAAGCAAGCGAGAAAGGCTTGCTCATCAGCTCCTGCGCCAGCAGTCCCAAGAAGCACTGCACATTCTGCAGGATCTGAATTGGTGGGAGGTGGGGAGGCGGAGGAGGAAGGGAGGGGTGAGGAGATGTGGAGCCGAGCGGGATGGTGCGAAAGGTGAGAGTAAGAGAGTAAGAGGGGGAAAGAGAAGGAGAGATAGAGTGGGAGTTGATTGTGGTTGGGAGAGACAGAGAGAAAGGGGGTGAGAGGAGGGGGTTGGAAGGGAAGGGGGAGAAGAGGGTCAGCAGGAGAGTGAAGGCCAAACAAAAAGTATACCACACAAATTCCACACGCAAAAGGCCTGATTGTCGAGAAGGCATGGCATACTTGGGGATCATCAACACATCAATGCCGTACCGTTATGTTCTTGACCACGTCCTCGTAGTACACGAGCATCCGTCTGGTGCCGTTGAACGCCCGGAGTGCATCATCCACCATCTCTCCAACACGCACTCACCGTCTTGTTCTTGACAACGTCCTCGTAGTACACGAGCATGCGCCGTGTGCCGTTGAACGCCCGGAGCGCATCATCCACCATCTCCTGCACGCGCTGCAGGTTGCCCTCCAGGTGCTTCGCGTTCACGTTCGGCCGAAACGTTGCCAGCTTCTCCGCCTGCACCGTCCAACAAACCCAGCGAGAATCGAGCAGGAAGGCAGGAGGAACTTGTATTAAGGGATGGTGCCAGGAGCGCGGGTCAATGCGTGTTGCGTGTGGTGTATGCGAGTAGGGAACGTGGACGTGGCGTGCCTATTGGCGTGGATGGCAGAAATACAGGGGGGTAGCGTGAGTGAAAGGTCGTAGTGAATGCTGGTGACAGAATGCGGGGTTCTGAAGGACGACGAGGGGAGCAAGCAGTCAGAGAGAACGAGAGCGAATAGAGCGTCAGGGTATTTCTTGGGGGAAGAGTTGGGGGAAAAAAGGAGGGGCGCGGGGGAGTGGGGAGAGGGGCGGGAGGGGAAAGGGAGGTGGGGGGTGTGGTGTGGACAAGGGAAGTGGAAGAGGAGATCTGATTGAGCGCACGACGCACTTCTTCTTTGCTGTGTGTGTGCGACTTGTGCACTCCCACTAGCTGCGTCTTGCGATCGTACGCGTTCGCCAGGATAGAAATCAGCCGCCGCAGCACGTTCTTCCTGATAAGCAGGATCACGGACACGTGGCGCTTCCTGAAGTACTCTGCCACGTCACTACTGAACTCCATCGCGCCCTGCCGAAACAGAACCGCGGATTTTGAGTGTGTAAAGGAAGAGGGAAGAGAAATTAGTGAAGAATAAGGGACCCATGAAACCATGGATCAGAACTTGGACTAGACCTGGGGGAGCACGGGGGCGAACAATGGCCCGAGCTCAGGTAGCGAGGAGACCAGGTTTGTTAGTCATGGTATAGAATGCGCTTCTCTGGACCAATTCGACCACCATCCACCACCCTCCTCCCTCTATTCCCTTCCCTCTCTGCCTGGCCACCCTCGCCTTTCTATTCCGCCACCGCCTGTCTCCGCCTGTCTTCTGCCTCCCTCCGTCACCTATCCATAGATCCCCTCCTTTCTTTACTCTCCCCTTTTCCTTCTCGCTTCTCCTCAAGTCCCGCGCCCGCCCTTCCCCTTCCTTCCTCCCTTCTCCCCCTTTACCTTTCTTCGTCCGTCGGTCCCCCCTCGCTCTCCTCCACTTCCCTCCATTTCAACCCAGCGATTCCCCCTAACCTGGTCAAGCAACCTTATCAATCCAGCGCCCCCCCTCACTTGGCTAAGCACAATCCAACGCCCTCCCCTCACCTGCAGAAGCATCCATTTCAATCCAACGGTCCTCCTCACCTGGTTGAGCATCCATTTGAATCCGACGGCGCTCGTGCACGAGTTCTTCGCGGCGCTGTTCGACCAATCCAGGTTGTACACGCGGTCAAGCGTCTCCGCGAACGCCGACGCGTTTTCGCGCCGCGGCCGGACTATAAATATCTCGCCGTGGCTGCTAATGTTCGGGTGGGAGTTTAAGAACGTTTCAAACCACCCGCTGCCGGACCGCTGCATGGAAAGGACGACGAAGTTGTGCACGGGTTTGCATAGGCATTCTCCTCGGCTGTAATTAAGAGGGTTGGGATAATGTTGACCGAACCGCTCCAAGTCGCCATATTCTGCTTCCGGGATTGCGGGACATTTCTCTAACTCCCTCGAATCTGCTTCTCTTTGCGCCTTCCGCGCAGCTGCCTTCTCCTCCTCGCTTTCCTCGGCAGCAAGTGAGCGGGACGGCGAAGAAGTCGAGGAGGAGGAGGACGACGAGGAAGAGGAGGAGGAGGAGGACGAGGAGGAAGAGGAGGAGTGGGAAGAAGACGAGGGATCGTGTGGGGAATCGATGGGTACAGCTTCTATGGATAGCGACGCGAATAGGTCGAACGAGGATGCGGTGTGTGATATGGATTTAATGCACAGCGATAGACCACATATGGCCAGCAGAACCACTGTGCTGACTTTCCAGAAGTAGGAACTCCGTCGAGGGACTTTAGCTGGGGTTGGAGAAGGAGGAACGATCATCATAATGTCGGCTAACGAGAGCATCTGCAACGGGGATGGAAGGGGAGAAGAAGGCGGGTTAGCGGAAGCACCTAGTCGCAACGCTTGAGGGAACCACGACAGCGGGAAACGAAGAAACTGAGAAACAAACGAGCGCTCCCATGGTAAAGGAAGCGTTGAGACGACTCAATATCCATTCGCTGCGGGATAATCTTTAAAGGCTGGCGCAGAAGCGCGGTTACCTTACTCGTTGTGTGCCAGAAGAATATGGGAGTAGAAAGTATCAGCGCTCAGCGAACGTCGCAACCAAAAGCTTGAGTCGGCCTGTTCAGCGTCGAAGGTCCTACAGTTGACCTAGTCCTGGAAATGATCGATCGAGCCTAATGAATCAAGATCGCAAGTAATATCCTGTTGTTCGTCGGGTTAACTGGTCGAAAAGCTGGAAACAAGATGATAAGGCAAATTGAATACTGCTGCACAAGCAATGCTCTTAGACACCAATAGCCCTACTCGGGAAAGTCACAAAAACAAGAGAGATTTGTCTTTCAAGGGAACGCATCTCCTGTGTCTACGTATTCTCAGACTTGACTGGGTTCATGGTAGAAACTACCGCCTGGGGCTGTAAAACGAACGCGTTCCGCCGCCAAATACGCAGGACGAGCGAAAGAACTAGTACAAGGAGCCGCCTCCGTACAAATACCGGAGGTGACGAGAAAAGGCCAGCCGTAGATTCACGAGGTCACAATCTCGGAGATGCATCTTCTGCTAGGGTCACAACCAAGGAACTCCTTGGCTGGCTAGGAAGCAGACCAGGGAGCAAAGCAGTAGCGGACACGAGATGGCCTGCACACCAGACAGAAAATTGGCGAGGCAATTCAGGGGCGGGGAAGGGTGGAACGCGCATCTCCTTGCACGGTTCTCGTGCGAGAGCAGCCCGGCAGTTTCTGGGTCAAACTTGGCGGGAATATCGGAGGGGACGGAAAGGTCGGATTGCAGCCTCGGAAGCGGTAGGGTAGACTGGTTCGGTTTCCACCAGACCAGAGTGGCCCGACTGCGCCGAGGTCTCGAGGGAATGAAGATTCTTGTTTGACCCAACGGACAAAAAATTCTCGTCTGGTACTCGTTACATGCATCCGCGATTGTTATTGTGGACTCCTGTCAGCTGGATGTCAGGTATGGCGATGTCGGCGGCGATAGGCTCGGAAGGCTACCAGTCACGTTCGGACGTCAGGAGATGCCTGACAGCCAGAACCCCTTGATTTTCACGGAAACCACCGAATCGCGTATGTTGCTGAACACCACGGTTTCAATCGCCGAACCTCGATGACAATGAGTAGAACCGCACTGAACCAGACTAACCATAACAACAATTTCAGGTCAATCACCAAATATGGGCGGCATCGCGTTCTGGGTTTGTGTTGGGATCCGGGCCCCTCCAGAAACTACCCGATATAATCCGAACATAAAGTCAACTACCTTTAGTAGGCATCCTCTAGCCTGAAAATTGCGTCGATTTCGAGAGGCGAGAAAGGGGAAACAACTTTTGATAATAAAAAAATCGGATTTGACCAAGTGTGTGATGGATACTTGGACCACGTAGTTTTAGGGAAGGGTTTGAAAGGGGGGTTTAGGGAGTCTGGAAGAGGTAGAGGGAACTCACTTTTAGTGCCCTTCGGGAGTTTCTCTTTGTGGGATGAGCTGCAAGAAGCCCTAGTTTTACGTAACATTGGGCACGGATCAAATTAGATGAGGGACTGACGCTTAAGTCTTGTAGTTTTCGAGAAACACGGGAAGATTGTGGAGCAACAATGGCAGAAAAGTTGAAAACCTCCAGGCTACGGACTGGTCGGAGGCTGTAAGCGAAATCCCTCAGTGGTCTGACTAACTTTTACTTTCCCTCGAGGTATGTAGTACGATGATTATCATGAGGGAAGGGAACACACATTCGCGGGCCAAGAAAGAGACCTTAAAAAGTTGCACAGATTGGAGTTACAACTCACAAAGATATAATAAATATCAAAACTCTTATGATACACATTCAATTGTAGGCACATAGTTCACTCAGTTTTCTTTTTGTTTTTTTTCTCATAAAAAAAATTGTCTAATATGAGCAGGAAAATCAGGTTAACACCTGATAATTAATTAATATCTGATCAGTGGAGCGAAATGGTACTCATAGATTACATTGTCTTATATAAAATATAGAGAGAAGGGATCAATATACGTAAGGAGAATATGCATTTCCGTTGAAACGAGTGTTTCTTGTCGGATATCCCCTCTTGAAGCAAGTCATTATTATTCCCCGCATCACCTAACTTCATAAATTTCCTGAACTATTGCAACCTAGAAGCTGTACCGCAACCATCCACCTGCATGACAAACTTATTGTTGCACCCGAATGAAGTCTGGCTGACCAGTGGCCGTGAGACACCTGTGCCACATGCGACCGTTGGGATCCACGGGCCGCGCGTGCCTGATAACTTCGGGAATCGGGATATACGCGTAGTGCGAGTTGACCAACCCCACGGTGATACCGCTGTAGCCGGCGAACGCGCCGTGAACGGCGTTCTGCCCCAGCACGGCGCACATCACGCTGTCCGACGCGTTTGCGCGGCACGCGCGGATCATGTATGTCGGATCGATGTACTTGACGTCTGCTGGCCGTCCGATGGACTTGAAATGACGCCGCACCTAGATCAGCCAGAAATAGGTCATGAGCGGGAAGAGGGTAAAGGAACATGAAAGGGAGAGGTGGCGGGAAGGCAAGAACGTACCTTGTTAGGTCAATGGAGAATGAGTGAGAACGAGAATGAGAATGAGAATGAATGAGAAAGAGAAAGGTAATGAAACTGCGAATGGGGACGGAAATGAGATTCAGAATGAGAAAGAGGCTTTCCCAAGAAGCCTCCCCAACCACCCACCTGCTTCAAGAGGAAGACCCCAATGTCCGACAGGATTGGATTTCCTGACGCGTCCGTACCGCCCTCCCCTTGCACCAGGTCCTGCAGTCACACACATTGACAAGGGTGGAATGCACGCACATTCCACAGCTGGGTTCTTCCTGGAATTTGCATCAATGTCAAACAAAGGGAGAACAAAAAAAGTATTTTCTCCTTCCATCTCACCTGCCCTACGCCCTCCTCAGATGATGGCCTGGCCCTGGCGGTTCAGGAACAACGACTTCTGAGTTGCCTTAACCGTGATTTTTCCCTCAGCTGTCAGAATTCACCTCCACCGTCCCCAGGAAAACCCTCACCTGGCCTGCGTCCTCTGCCACGCAGATGATGGCGTGGCCCTGGCAGACGGCATTTGAGGCGCCTCAACTATCAACCGTCACCCCAGAAACCCCTACCTGGCCTGCGCCCTCCGCCACGCAGATGATGGCGTGGCCCTGGCGGTCCAGGCGATGATCTGCCACCTCAGACATCACCTAAAACGTCACATCGAAAGCCATCACCTAAAAAACCCTCACCTGCCCTGCGCCCTCTGCCACGCAAATGATGGCGTGGCCCTGGCGGTCCAGGAGATACTCCAGATGCTGCAGCACCCCGTTGGGCCCCTCCAGACAAAAGGGCACCTGGTGGGAGCGTGGTGAGGCAGGGGCGGAGGCAGGAAAGGCAAGAGAGGAGGGAGGAGAGGGGTGCAGAGAGAAATCTGGTGACCTAAGGAATTAATTGTCATGGAAGTTGGTGGTGCTGCAGCTGTCCATTGGAGCCCTCCAGGCAGAATAGAGCTTGTATGGGGAGAGAAGACAAGGTGAGCAGCTGAGACAGCAAGGAAAGTGGTGAAAGGTGTGAAAGGCTTTCCTCCCTCCCTTCCCTCGCTGCATACCTCGGGGATGAGCGCCATGTTCACCTGCCCGCTGGCCAGCGGCGAGTGCATGTCGAGGCATGAAACCAACACATTGCCCTCCCTACCTCCTCTCCCTTCCCTCGTTGCATACCTCGGGGATGAGCGCCATGTTCACCTGCGCGTTGGCCAGCGACGAGAGCATGGCAATGAAACCAACACGTTTCCCTCCCTCCCTCCCTTCCCTCCTTTCCCTCCCTTCCCTAACTCCCCTCACTGCATACCTCGGGGATGAGCGCCATGTCCACCTGCCCACTGGTCAGCGACGAGCATGGCAAGGCATGAAGCCAACACATTGCGCTCCCTCCCTTCCCTCCTTTCCCTCCTTTCCCTGCGTTCCCTCCCTGCCACGCCACGCACCTCAGGGATGAGCGCCATGTCCACCTGTCCGCTGGCCAGCGACGAGCATGGCAAGGCATGAAGCCAACACATTGCGCTCCCTCCCTTCCCTCCTTTCCCTCCTTTCCCTGCGTTCCCTCCCTGCCACGCCACGCACCTCAGGGATGAGCGCCATGTCCACCTGTCCGCTGGCCAGCGATGAGTGCATGGCAATGAAGCCAACACATTGCTCTCTCTACCTTCCTCCCCGTCCCACCCTGCATACCCCTCTCTGCATACCCCTCTCTGCATACCCGTCTCTGCATACCTCAGGGATAAGTGCCATGTCCACCTGTCCACTGGCCAGCGACGAGTGCATGGCAATGAATCCACTCTGCCGTCCCATCAGCTTCACGATGCCGATTCCCCTGTATGCACTGGACGCCTGCAGCAGTCCCACGAGTTGGAGAAAGGGGAGGGATTGATACGGTTATTACTGGGAAGTTGAGCTGACATCACTCTGCCGCCCCATCAGCTTCACGATGCCGATGCCCCTGTATGCACTGGATGCCTGCAGCAGTCACACAGGGGAGGGGAGGGTAGGCGAAAGAGGTGGGGGAGGGGAGGCGATTTGGATGGCTTGGTATTGCTTAACCGATGCCCCCATCAGCTTCATGATGCCAATGCCCCTGTCCGCGCTGGTGCCTGCAGCAGTCACACCGGGGGGTTGGGAGGGATGGATGTGGATATTGGAAAAGCTGAGCTGACATCCCCCACACTACATGCCCCTGTACTGTATGCCTTGGCCGCCTGCAGTAGTGTCGAACAAATGGGGAAGAGTGGTCAAAGGTGCCATGTAGTGCGAGCGAGCCCATGCCCATGCCCATGCCCATGCTCACACTTGCCCGTGCCCTGTGTCCGCACTCTCTCCTCCACATAGCCAGCATGCAGCGCCCTCTGGGCCTCCTCCTCCACGGCTGTATCGAAACCAATCGTCTTGTCCATTCCCCCCATCACCCCCATCTACCCCTTCCCTGTGTTCACCTCCACCCCCCCCCCCATTGTTTCTCTCACCTCCACATAGGCGGCATGCAGCGCCCTCTGCGCCTCCTCCACAGCCGTGTCGAACCCAAACGTCTGGTCCAGCAGCAGAATGTCGTTGTCAATGGTCTTGGGCACCCCCACCACCGCTACTTTCATGCCCCTCTTGTAACACTGTGCACGGTGTAGGGTAGTAGTGGGGGGAGAGGGGCGGAGGGGGGTAACAGGTGTTGACGTCTGGTCCAGCAGCTGAATGTCATGGTTAATGGTCTTAGGCACGCCCACCACCGCCACCTTCATGCCCCTCTTATAACACTGCAAAGGGCGAGGGGTAGGAGGGGGGATAGCAGGTGCATTTGATTCGACACAAGTCGATACAATCTAAACCCAAACGTCTGGTCCAGCAGCAGAAATTCATTGTCAATGGTCTTGGGCACTCCCACCACCGTCACCTTCATGCCGCGCTTGTAGCACTGCACACGGTTGAGTAGGGTAGTGGGTATCGAAAGGGCGGGATGGGTGGAGTTAGTGGGGTGGGTGGGTGGTTTGAGCAATTCACCTGAAAGGCTACTCGTCTCTCCTCTCTCCCCTGTCCTCTCTCATCTCTCCTCCCTCCTCATGTTTTTTCTTTCCTCCTTCCCCACGCTCACCTCCTTGTGAATGGCCAGAGCTCCAGCGTGCGTGCCGTTTCCACCAATCACAAACAGCATGTTGATCCCCTCCTTCTGCAGTATGGAAAGAGCAGGATGTGCGGGGGAGGGCGAAGTGGGGAGAGAGGAAAGGCGAGAGCGCCAGCATGGGTGCCGTTTCCACCAATCACAAACAGCATGTTGATCCCCTCCTTCTGCAGTATGGAAAGAGCAGGATGTGCGGGGGAGGGCGAAGTGGGGAGAGAGGAAAGGCGAGAGCGCCAGCATGGGTGCCGTTTCCACCAATCACAAACAGCATGTTGATCCCCTCCTTCTGCAGTATGGAAAGAGCAGGATGTGCGGGGGAGGGCGAAGTGGGGAGAGAGGAAAGGCGAGAGCGCCAGCATGGGTGCCGTTTCCACCAATCACAAACAGCACGTTGATCCCCTCCTTCTGAAATGATGTTTCATTATGGATTGAGCAGGAGCGCGGAGGCAAAAGTGGCGAGAGAGGAGAAGGGTAGGGGTGGGGAAAGGAGAAGGAAAGGACGAGTAATGGTAAATGTGCAAGGGAGTTAAATAGACTTGCTTGAGAGTCAGGTGTAAAGGCGAACGCTAGACTCTACCATGGCATGGAATAGCATTGAAAAATCTGGCATGGCATGATCTGAACTGCCATGGCGTGATATGTCATGGCATGGCATCTTGATACCTCATAACTTCGACCACCTTTCCCTGTCCAGTCCGCCTGCTTGCACTTGCACATGCCTACTCACCTAGCTCACCCCCGTACCCCTCATCTCTCCCCCATCTCCCCCATCTCTCCCCCATCTCTCCCCCATCTCTCCCCCATCTCTCCCCCATCTCTCCCCCATCCCTCCCCCATCCCTCCCCCATCCCTTCCCCATCCCTCCCCCATCTCCCCCCATCTCTCCCCCATCTCACCCCACATTCCCACCTAAATGGAGTCGACGATATCAAGGCTGTTGGAGCCCCTCGGATTAACACTACCTCTCCCATCCCTCTCCCACCCCTCCCCACCCCTCCCCCATCTCTCCCCCATTTCTCCCCCATCCCTCCCCAGCCCTCCCCCATCTCTCTCCCCACCTTCCCACCTGAATGGAGTCGACGATATCAAGGCTGTCGGAGCCCCCTCGGGACACGCCCAGGAACGACCCGCCCATGAGGTGAATGTTGTCCACCACGGCTCGGTTCAGCTGGTGGGGGGGTGGGGAGGAGAGGAGAGGGGGGAAAGGCATGGGTTGCATGGTATGCAGTTGTTATCCGTGGCCTCCCCCAGGAACGACCCGCCCATGAGGTGAATGTTGTCCACCACGGCTCGGTTCAGCTGGTGGGGGGTTGGGGAGAGGAGGGGGGAGTGGCGGCAGGGGCCCAGGAAGGAGCAGATTGGCAGAGGAAGGAGGGGACGTCCCGCCCATGAGGTGAATGTTGTCCACCACTGCCCGGTTCAGCTGGTGGGGGATGGGAAGCGGGATGGGAGGAGGGAGAGAAGGCATGGGTTGCACAGTAGGTGGTTGCTTTCCGTGGCCTCCCATCCGCCCATGAGGGGAGGGGCGGATGGGAGGGGCGGACAGGGAGAGGGGGAATGTATGAGGGGGTGCAACGACCCGCCCATGAGGTGAGTGTTGACCACCACGGCCCGGTTCAGCTGGTGGGTTTATGGGGGGGCAGTGGCAGATGGGAGGGAGGGATGATGCTTGATGGCAGTTGGGGAGTGAGTGAGTGAGAGAGCACGGACTGACAGGCATGCGTGAGGTAATAAATTGACATGCATGAGATTGCGCAAGGTCTGGCAGGACTTGCACTAATCGGTGCGGGTGAGGCACTGACCGGTATGTGCAGAGAGGAATCGAAGAAGCCCCGGAAGCCATACTTGATGCCTCGAATGTCGCCCACTCCGTACGTGTTGAGCGTCATCACCACCTGTGGGTAGAACAAGGGGTGGGATTAAGGTGGTTTGAAGGGGTTTGGAGTGGTGGAGGGAAGAAAGAGGGGTTCAAGGCATGTCAGACGCTATACTTGATGCCTCGGATGTCGTTCACTCCTTACGTGTTTAGTGTCATCACCACCTGTGGGCAGCAGAGGTGGAAGGAAGGGGGGGAAAGTAGAATAAGGGTTGCGGCATTGTCGACTTGGTGACCGGTCGACTTGGTGGTGAGCTGTTCACGGTGCAGTGATGTCATCATCCCAACCCCCTCACCTGTCGGAACGTCATTGAGCCCCTCTCACGTGGCGGATGACGTCATTGAGCCCCTCTCACGTGGCGGATGACGTCATTGAGCCCCTCTCACGTGGCGGATGACGTCATTGAGCCCTCTCACGTGGAGGATGACGTCATTGAGCCTCTCTCACCTTGCGGATGACGTCATCGAGCCTCTCACCTGGATGATGTTGTCATCGAGCCCCCCGCACCCGGCGGATGACGTCATCGAGTCCCCCGCACCTGGCGGATGACGCCATCGAGTCCCCCGCACCTGGCGGATGACGTCATCGAGTCCCCCTCCCTCACTGGCGGATGACGCCATTGAGCCTCCCTCACCTGGCGGATGACGTCATTGAGTCCAGGGCAGAGCCCCCCGCACGTCACCACTGCAGCCCTCACGTCCTGAGGCTTGAAGTAGATGCGCGGCCTCGCCCCCGCTCGCACCAGCCTGAAGGGGGAGAGAGGTGGCGGGGAGGTGGGTGGGAGGTTAGGGGGAGGGAATAAGGCACGGACAGCGAGAAGGGAAGGGTGGGAGCAAGGTCACCACTGCAGACCACACGCCCTGCGGTTTGAAAATGTTCCCAGCCTCGTTACCTCCCTCCCTACCTCCATCCATACCCCCCTACCCCCTACGCCCCCCCTACACCCCTACCGCCCCCTTACCCGCCTAGCCCCATAGCCCCATACCCCCATACCCCCATACCCCCCTACCTCCATACCCCCTCCCTCCCTCCCTCTCCTCCCTTCGCCCCCCTCCCCTTCCTTTCGCCGCTACTCCTGTCTGCGGCCTCGCGAGGCGAACGCACCAGTGCTGCACGAAGTGGCAGTCCTCCTCCGATGACGCATCGGCCGTCATGGGATGCGAGTACTTGACGGTCTGCACGAGCAGGGGAGTGGGAGTGGGAGAGGGAGAGGGAGAGGGAGAGGGAGAGGGAGAGGGAACGGTGTGACCGATTGCCTCAAGTACAGAACTGACAGTCCTCCTCCGATGACGCGTCGGCCGTCATGGGGTGTACTTGACGGTCTGGAGGCGCAGACATGGGCAAGGGGATGGTGGAAAGGGACGAGGAAATCCTCTGATTGCTGCTCAGGTGTCAGCAGTGGCAGTCCTCCTCTGATGACGCGTCGGCCGTCATGGGATGCGATGCGAGTACTTGACGGTCTGGGGGCGCAGACATGGGCAAGGGGGTGATGGCAAGGGAGGAGGAAATGCTCTGATTGCTGCCGAGGTGTCATTTCAGCAGTGGCAGTCCTCCTCTGATGACGCGGCGGCCGTCATGGGATGCGAGTACTTCACGGTCTGGGGGCGCAGACATGGGCAAGGGGGTGATGGCAAGGGAGGAGGAAATGCTCTGGTTTCTGTTGAGCCGCCTCAACAGTCGCAGGCCTCCTTGGGTGACGCGCCGGCCATCATGGGATGGGATGAGACTACTTCTTTGTCTGCAGGAGTAAGGGAGGGGGAGGGGATGCGGAGTGGGTTGGAGGGAAGGGAGAGGGAACGCTGGGACAGACACGCCGCCTCAGTGACACGAGTGGTTGCTCTCTTGCTCTCCTCGAACGATGTTTGAGGCTCCTCGGATGAGGCCTCGGGTGCTCTCTTGCTCCTCGGATGAGGCATCGGCCCTTCTCGTCGCCTTCTCTCCCCTCGCCCCCTCCCCTGCTCGTGCCCACACCGTGAAGTACCCGCATCTCATGAGGAGGATAAGTGGGAGGGGAGGAGAAAAATGCGAGGTGAAGGTTGGGTCGGAGTGGAAGGGGAAGATAAGGGGTATGCTGTTGAGACGCGTCAAGATAAAGGGTGGAGAGTGGGTCTCAAGAGGCCGTGAATCAGGAAGGTCAGGTCATATAGAGAACAGTAAGGGGTTATTGGAGTAACCTCAGCGCATGCCAGCACCACTTTGAGCACGTGCCCCCCCCATCTCGAGCACGTGGCCGCCCCACCTTGAGCACGTGGCCGGACCTCGAGCACGTGTCCGCCCCACCTTGAGCAGCACTTTGTCGTTATCGTGCACGAAGAGCGACGTGGTGCCTGCATTACCTTGAGCACCTTGACTCCCACCGCACCTTGAGTCCCGCCCCACCTTGAGCAGCACTTTGTCGTTATCGTGCACGAAGAGCGACGTGGTGCCTGCATTACCTTGAGCACCTTGACTCCCTCCGCACCTTCACTCCCGCCCCACCTTGAGCAGCACTTTGTCGTTATCGTGCACGAAGAGCGACGTGGTGCCCAGCTCGCGCGTGTCGTAGTCCACAAACGAGGCGCCCTTATTGAGGGGGAGCAGCGGACAGCTGCACACAGGGGGAAGAGAGGAGGCAGAGAGGCAGGGAGGCAGGGAGAAGAGGGGAGGCAGGGGGGCAGGGAGGCAGGGAGAAGAGGGGAAACAAAAGAGGTGACTTTTGAGTCGACTCAAAAGTCACAAACGAGGCGCCCTTATTGAGGGGGAGCAGCGGACAGCTGCACACAGGGAGAAGAGGGGAGGCAGGGAGGCAGGAAGAGGCAGGAAGAGCTCATCTGAGCAGTTTAGAGGCCTCCCGTCGAGTGACGGAAATGTTGCATTCCCTGGCAGCCTCGTAAATGCCCAAAACGGCAGCGGATTCTCGTGGGTCCACAATTGTGGCGACGTTTGACCGCAGCAATTTTCTTGTCACCAACTGTAAAGCGCAGACGAACTAAGCGCCCTTGAAGGCTCCCTGCACGTCAACTTCTGCACGAGTCGAAGGCCACGTGCTGCTGAAACCAAATTACTGATTTTTTCGTCCAAGGGGCGTGGATGGGTGACAGATATATGGATCTGCCAATATTGACGGTGATTTCCCAAATTACTTATCTTTTCGTCCGAGGGGCGTGGATCTTTGATTGTTTTATGTATGGCGCAAATATTCAAAATGGCTTGAGGCGTCGAGCAAAAGGGTGGTGCAATGAGTCCGTACGAACCTTGTCTTGGTGCAAAACGTGGAGTAGAACGACGGTGAATCGGGATGGATATCCGTGATGTGCGGCAGCCAGTAACGAGTCCGTAGCTCCGCTTCTAACGGGTCCGTGATCTTATCGGTATACTCTTTGAGAGTCGTTCGCGGGGGAATCGTCATCTTCGTATTCTGCGACGCCTCGAGAACAGTGTCGGACGGAGGGATGCGGCTGATCGTCATCGCGACTGTCGCACGTTGATTTCGCCCATTGTTGCGAATCTCGCGAGGCTGCAACAGCTTCCGTAAATGTACGTTTCTGCCATAAAATTCTCCACCGGACGCCGTTGCTTGCACGCCATATTTCAAATGGCAATTTATCGGGTACGCGAGGGAACTAGCGGCGGTTACAGCTCCAATGCCGATCTTCGCCATGGCGTCTTACTGTTGGCAGTTCAAAGAAGCAACAAAGCACGAATGGACAACTCGGTTTCCGTGGCTCGGCCAAAGCTTGCTTGCTGTAAACCTGTGCACAACCTCAGGGAGAGCCCTTTTAGCTTCTAATCGGTGTTGTTCAGAGTTAGGAAGGGGTGAAGAAGATGACGAGCATTTCTGAAGAAAGTTGCGATTGCGACAAATTTAGGGAAGGGGGCAAATGGATGCAGAAATGGGACTTGGGAGGAATCACGGCCCGAGAGATGGATGGAGGAGAAGCTGATGATTTGAGACTACGGTGAGGTACGGTGGGATGCGTTACCATAGGCTTGGTGGGTGGTTGACTGGGTGAGGAGATGTAGATTGGGTTTGGTTGGGGGGGCGGCATGAGAATAAGAAATTCACCAATAAGACGCCTCCGATCGCAAGGGGACGGAGCCGCTTGCGGTTCGTGATTGTGTGGTCTGCTGCAACCGAATATTTTACACGTGTGCACCTCACTTTGGTCGGAAAGAACTCTGCTGCCCAATGATACTTTCCATTTCCCACGACGGCGCGTGTGAAGCGGAACGTATCCAATCACATGCTGGAACTTCCGCAATTTCTGACCAATGCGACAGAGGCATCTGTGCAAAGTAAGTGCTGTAATGGAACAGCTGTTACGAAATATACGGTTCCACAAGTTCAAAGCTAAACTGGAACTGTAGATGTTTCTAGGAAAACTGACTTTACATTCTTCAAATTGGATATGGCAAACTGACTTCAAAGTCTTCAAACTGTAGATGGCAAACTGACTTCAAAATCTTTACCACAACCATCCAATCCAACCCTAAACGGGATGCTCTTCCAATAAATTATATAGTTGTATTGTACTGTCAATAAGATGCAGGTAATGTGTTTCATGCCGAGTCCAAAAGGGTAGCCTGAATGGTCAGACCTCCCAAAACCCTTAGCATGTCATGCTATTCTGCTGAAATGAAATTTCTTGGGTGGTGGCAAGCCAAAGTCTGACGAAGATGCCTAGCATTGCATTGCAATGCAATGCAATGCAATGCAATAATACATGTTGTGCAAGTAGGTGTTCAATGGAAAAAGGTATGCAATATCAATCAGCATCTTCCTGCATTAGCATATGATACATGCGCAGCTCATGGCACTACATGACAGTCAGGAGGGCAGGGAGTGCAAGCATCACAACCATCCAGGTTGCACTGAAACGAGCAGAAGCCTTTGTCGTATTCTGCAAATACGGTAAAAGCCAAACGCGCATAAGAATTACATCAAACCCAGGTCAAGCTTTGAGACAACAACAAGAACGGGAACACCTTATTCGGAACAGGTCAGGCTTTAGGGTACTGAAGACACATACCACATCCTTGCCAATGTAGAAAGAGAGGTTGTATGAGGCGGCAGCGGCACCAGGGGCAGCAGGGGGCATGACGGAGGCATTGAGAGTGAGCGACTGGTTGGCAGTAGCACTCATGGAGAGCGCAGGGAAGGCGGTGGGTGTGACTGTCTGCACTGTGTTGCTGCTGAACGGGGTAGTTGCGAGCGAGGCCTGAGTGACCAGGGTGATTGGGAACACTAACCCAACGCCCACAGCCTGAAAAATGTGGGGGGGAAAGGAAGAGAAATGGCTTGCCGTTGGTTATTGACTGGTAGTAAGAGGCAATACTACATGGCAAGAGTACGAAGCTACATGGCAAGGCGTGCAGAGATATCGATGCTGCTTTTGCACATGAATTCGCTGCCTGAGAGGTTGGCTGGTTTCTCCAGTTCCTCACCTTGCTGTTATTGCCTGCAATGAAGGGCATGGCGTCAAAGGCCCCAGGGAGAGGAGTAGGTCCCTTGGATGGCACCATAATGTACCCGATTCCCTTTATTGCCCTGGTAGGATGCCACCATGCAGCCATGCAACCATACACACATGCACATGTGCACGCAGGCAAACACATGCGCACACATGCTCAAACACACGCACATGCATACATGCACACACATGCACGCTTGCTTACATGCACATACATGCACATACACGCAGCATATACACATGCATGCTTGCACACATGTTCACATGCGCACATCGAAACACCAACGCAGAGTCACATGAAGTGAAATTGCCAAGAAGAAAAAGAAGAGGAAGAAGAAAGAAAGAAAAAAGAAAAAAAAAGAAAAAAGAAAACATCACAAACAACTGGAGCCAATTGTTCGTACTCACAGAGGATCCACTTGGACGGAGGGGAGGCGCATGGTGGAGCCAGCGGGCTGGCGCACAAACATCTCCGTGTAGAGAAACCCCACCGACGTCCTGCCGCCATTCACCACCGGCGGACTCCCAAACGCCTGCGCCACCGTCACCTCAGCACCCTCGTCTGTGGAGCAGATGTACCCGCGCAGCATGCCGTTGTCTGTTTCCGTGCAAATGCTGCCGATCTGACTCGCTGTGGCCTCGTCGAGGAAGGAGAAGGTGAGGTAGACGTAGCAGGAGAGGCAAATGTCTGATCCTGACGCGAGGTATGCGGGGACAGCCTGTTCAGCAGCTACGTTGGTGGTGTTGTCTGCAGGGGGAAGGAGAGGGAGGGGAGGTGGGGAGAGAGGAGTGTGTGGGTGGCTTGTTTCTCAGTGAAGTTTGGTAGTGCTAACGCCGGTCAGCTGCATACGGCATGACATGGCGAAACGTGGGGCAGAAGCAAGAAAGCCGCATGCATGCATGGTATTTACACGTACAGATGGGGTAGCAGGAGGAAGGGCTGAAGGACATGATGATGTGCTTGACGTCCGTGAGAGAGGAGAAGCCTGCACGCAGAAAGGCGGCGAGATCAAGCAACCGAATGAACCAGGTGGAATGCAGGGATAGTGTGGCAAGAAACGAGCTGAAAACGAACGCGTGGAGGGGGGACTGAGGGAGAGCGAGAGAGAAAAGAAGAGGGGGGGAGAGGGGAAAGAAATGGAAATGCCACTCACTGGATGGCAAATCGAAACGGAGCTTAGGTCTTAAGCACTGACATCCAAGGAGCTGTATTTGCTGTTGCATGATGGCACTCACTGGGCGGCAGAGTGTATTTCTCCACAATGTACTCCTGCTTGGGTGTAACCGACTTAATCCAGTCCGGTAGGTTCGCCTGCAGCAGAAACTCGCATCAGTGAGGAATGGTGGTTATAGTACGAAAATAACGAAATTTTAATCCAGATGGGATGGCTCAAAGTGGTAACGGGCGTACACGTCTAACCTCGGAACGGAGATAAGGACACGCCACTTGCAATGTACGACATACAAACAGGGCTCGGGCGTGACAGGTTCTGACGCAGCACAATTGAACGAACGAATGAACCAAATGTCGTACTGACGAACGAACCCTATGAACGAACAGACTACCGAACGAATCGACGAACTAACGAAGGAACTAACCTGCACGCGGATCTGATTGCGATTGGGCCCGACATCAACGCGCAAGTAACCTCCGAAGAAGTTGGTGGTAAAATTCGCGTTCATGGTGGTGCTCTGAGCCAAGCACCTGAAAGAGGGGACTTAATGTATAAGGACGAAAACAGAGACAGAAAGTAGGCAAACGAAGGAAAGCGAGAAACTACATTGATTCGGATTTTTTACCCCGAAGGAAACAGTGCGGAGGCGGCGATGAGAACGAGGAGAGCAATGCTCGACGACGACGCGAGTTTCATCGACGCCATGGCTCCCCGCTGACAGAGCTTAGAAAACTAGGTAGCGGAACAAACAAAACAAACGCTGATCGCAACTATCAGCAGCAGACACTTATTTGTGGAACAACGGACGGAGGGCCAGAGTTCATGCATGAGTCGTGTACATCTGATCCTCAGCTCAAGCTCCAAGCTGGTTGGTTTGGTTCGGATGCCGTGCGTCTCTCACGGTAACCGAGCCCACTGTTCACGTACGGAAGCACTATCGTCGTCGTGGGCGGCAGTGCCCCGCCGTATGGGAGATGTATTGTCCTCGCATTCTCCTGGTAATCCCGTCCCCGTGCATAGTGATTGGTGGGAGGAGCAGTAATAGCCACAAGTTTATAAATCTAGTGAAAAATCCCCGCTACTTCGCCGCTTATTCGCTTGCCCTTGCCGAGTTCCGCACAGGGAGGAGCAAGGGACCCACCCAAGTCCCCACCGGATCCCCCCTCCCGCTGGAAAAAACACCCCTGCGGCTGGCGATGGCCATAGTGATCCCCCCTCTGCCCCTTCAAGGCCCAAGTTCGTGAATCTGACGAACAAAACCCAACTGAAGCCCCATCTACCCTCCCCTATCCCACGGTGTGAAACCCAGAGCAGACAACTGGAGCTCGATGTCTCGCCTCTCTGAACCGTGACAATGGAAAAGATCAGGACATTGCTATGATCTTATTCATGGTGCAACCTCTCAAATGCAAAATTCAAGGTGATATGAATATTGAACAGCCCGATAATTCTCCCCCGTTAGATTTCAAGATAAAGCGATTGAAAGCAGTCGGTTCGGCAAGAAGACACAGCGAGGGAAGGGGGGGATGGGCACAGCAGACGGAAGAGATAGGAGTGCCTGGAGTTCCGCGAGAGCACGTGGGGGGGTGGAGGGGGGCAGAATGTTGGGCTTCAAAATCAGTGGGTGGGAAAGGAGTGCGTGGGAGCCAAAAGAGAGGAAAATTGCGCATCTGGCGACTTCCTCAGAGGGAGATGCACCGAAACGACGAAGAGCGCGTTGGATGGTGAGAGCTTTAAAGCCCAAGACCTGAATTACTCAACGCAAGTCAACGGGAGGCAAAACTGTGGGCTGCAGCAGGCAAACTGGGCACTGTATTGATGGGGGGGGGTAGCACAAAAGCTAGGCCACATTGTCCGTGTTTCAAACTGTTATGAATAGTTAAATGAGAAACACCAAGCATTCCTATCAACAGCAAGTGAAGAGTGCAAAAGCAAGTACGAAGGCGAAGGGTCGCCACTTCCCGCCTACATCCCGCCGTCAAGCGATCCGCGACACTATCGATTGGGGCAACGAATCGTCGACGCCGCGTCGCACCGTCTACGGACCAGATCCCGAGCCGCGCGAACCTACGCTCCTCCCCGGCACAATCTCCGAGACCAACATCCCTCTCTCCGCCATCCCCGACAGGGAATTTCTCGCGTTGATGCTGACGACGGCGAACGACGAAGCGATAGAAGAAGAAGCGCCAACGGCGCCAACCCCCGTACCTTGAGAAGATCCCAAAGTGGTGCGCGCACACTACAAGTGTCAGAATAAGGAAACAGTAATGAACTAGAATGGAGGGGTACAAACATACAAGTAGGAAACCCTAATGGGTTGTACCCCCTAATGACTACCCCAATATAGCCTACAGTGAGATATTACATTTGACACACCCCCATAGGCTAAGTGGGGGACAACAAACGGTCACAAGACCGGTCAAGAGAAGAAACAAAGAACAAAGCCCAGGGTGGATCTCAAGGACACCACACATTCTGAGCACAAGCAAGCGGCTACAAGGCCAGTTCACATGCAGAGTTATAATAGCACAAGCAGTACAATGATTACAACCTAGCAACCAGAAACATGCAGGTTTATATATCAAAGTACAGAGCAAGATCAAGAGACAAGCAAGTGAGGCAGAGTGGGCACAAGCCCAAGAGCAGTGCAGAAACGCTGATGATCACTAGACCCAAGGGCCTTGGTGAAGACATCAGCAGTGTTGGCCCGAGTGGCCACGTAAGCAAGACGAAGCTGACCACGCTGCTGCAGCTCTCGCGTGAGGAAGTAACGGAGAGCGATGTGCTTCGTTCTGTGCTCCAGTCGCTAGTCCTGACACAAGGCAATCATGGCATTGTTGTCGACGTACAGAACTGGAGGAGAACAAGGCCGCTCACCCAAGTCGGTCAGCAGGTAGGTCAGCCAGCGGAGCTCCTGTGCAGCCATAGCCCCAGCGTAGATCTCGGCCTCACAGCTGGAACTAAGTACAGAAGAAGAGTGAGTGGACCTCCACGAGACAGAACCAGTGCCGAGACTGAAGCTGTACCCCTGTGTCGACCGGTGAGTCGTCTGGTCGTCAGCCCAAGAAGCGTCTGAGTGACCGGTGAGAACAACTGAATCCGGTCCTCCAAGCACGAGCCCCATGCCCGATGTACTGCACAAGTAATGCAGTACCCTCTTCGCAGCATCAAAGTGCACCTTTCGATGTCTACCAGGTGCCACGTAGCGAGCCAGGAGGCTGAGAGGGTACGCGAGGTCAGGTCGTGTGCACGTTATCAGGTACATGAGGGCAACCCACAAGCTCTGGGTACGGACCACTCGGCTCTACGGACTCGTCCGAAGGTGGAGCTGAGAGCGAGTGGCCGGTAGACAGAGGAGTGATCTGTGGCGAGGACCACGTGAAGCCGAAGCGCTGAAGGACCTGCTGCACCATGTGTGACTGAGTGAGGGTGATGGTGCGGCGTGCTCTGTCCCGGGTGATCTGCAAGCCAAGGTAACTCCGCAGCTCACCCAGGCCAGTGCAAATGTGTCTCTCCTGCAGCTCCGCCTTCACCAAGGCCAGAGCCTCAGTGTCAGCAGTAGCAAAAAACAAGTCGTCAACGTACTCAAGAACGTAGAACGGCGGCAGAGAAGTGTCTGTGCGCAGAAACAGCGAAGGGTCAGCAGTTGAGGGAGCGAAGCCAAGAGCCGCAAGTGTAGTCCTCAGTGTGTCGTACCACTCGCAAGGTGCCTGTCGAAGGCCGTAGACTGGTCGCCGAAGACTCCACTGGGTACCCTCAGGAAACGACCCAGTGAAGCCACGTGGACGGCGCAACCAGATAGCCTCGTGAAGACTACCCTGCAAGAAGGCTGTCGAAAAGTCGAGGGAGTGCAGCTCGTAGTCACGCTGTGCTGCAACGTGTAGTAGCACCCGAAGAGTGGTCATCTTCGGGGTGGGGGAGAAGGTCTGAAAGAAGTCAACCCCCTCACGCTGACTGAAGCCACGAGCAACGTAACGCGCCTTGAAGGCAGGCGGAGAAACCGGCGGCCGCTTCACCCTGAAAATCTCCATGCCATCGACTATGTTCTCCCCAGGTGGGGGAACCTCGTCGACGTAGGTGCCTGTGGACTTCCAGGAAGCCATCTCTGCGTCCATGGCTATCTGCCACTGAGAGGAGTACTCCCCCGTGATCGCCTCTGAGTAAGTGCGTGGGGTCGGGATGTCCAGTGCATCCGGGTCTCCCTCAGGACAAAGTAGCGAGGACGCGAGATGCGGTGCAGCGGCCGCGAGGCACTCAAGCTCAAACTGCATGTCCTCAAGAACGTCACAGCCAAGGGCAAGCTCACCCTCGACGGACGGAGGACAGGAAGAGTCAAAGACAAGACTCGCAGCGTAGTCAAGGCGGCACAAAGTAGCAAAGTCAACAAGCTCAGCAACTAAGGCAGGCGTAGCAGCAGACTCAAAAGAAGGGTCAGTCACAACTGTGGCAAAGAGACGAGTGACAGTCGGACTGGCAGCCCGGACAAGGTCTGACTCAGGGTCAGGAACATGAGGAAGAGAAGACGCAGGAGGAGACGGCAGGACAACACGCTGTGGAACAGAGGAAGGACGAAGTGCCATACGGTGAGTGGCTGGCACAGCTGGAGCACGAGGACGGACAACACGACGACCGCGAACAGGTGTGGAAGCACGAGTCTCAGGCTCACGACGCTCAGGAGTGGAAGCATGAGTCTCAGGCTCACGACGCGCAGTCAGGGACGCAGTGGCCTCAGTGTGAGGAGCAGGAGCAAGCAGCGGGGAGCAAGGCAATAGCTGTGGCTGAGACTGGTCAGGCGATGGGAACAGTAGCGGAGGAGTAGTACCAGGAACCGGGAACTTAGTAGCAGCAGGCGGGAGACTGAGAAGGCGACTAAGCGCAGACGGCTGCGGCTGAGGAGTCGCACCCCTAGAACCTCCCGCTCCAGTAGCAACATCACCCCCAGAACCAGTGCCTCCAGCTCCAGTAGCAACAGCACCCCCAGAACTAGTGACTCCAGCTCCAGTAGCAGCAGCACCCCCAGAACCAGTGCCCCCAGCTCCACCACCGGGACTGCCCCAACGAACAGCCCACTCGCGAAGCTGCAGCGGCGAGAGCGACTCCGGCCGACTAGCACCACTAACTCCAGTACCCCCAACAGCACCTCCGGTAGTACCTCCAGTAGTACCTCCAGTGTCAGCACCTCTAGCACCTCCAGCAGTACCTGCACCTCCAGCACCTCCTGCAGCACCTGTGCCTCCAGTACCAGGAACACCAGCACCAGCACGTCCAGGGCTAGCACCTCCAGAACCTGAACCTCCAGCACCTCCAGCAGCACCTGTGCCTCCAGTACCAGGAACAACAGCACTAGCACCTCTAGGGCTAGCACCTCGAGAACCTGCAGCTCCAGCACGTCCAGCGCCACCACCAGGACTGCCACTCGCGAAGCCGCTCCGGCGAGATAGACGCCTGGCGACGTGCACCAGAGCCACCAGTACGAGCAACCACAGGACCACCAGTAGCAGAACCTCCAGCACCTCCAGCGCCAGCACCTCCAGCTCTAAGACGGCTAGCTCCACCACCAGGGCTGCCCCACTGGACAGCCCACTCGCGCAGCCGCTCCGGCGAGAGAGCCTCCTGCTGACTCGTAGCAGGACCACCAGCACCAGTACCTCCAGTACCTCCTGTACCCAGAGGACACTCAACACCCCCAGAACCAGTACCCCCAGTGGTACCACCTCCTGCAGCACCAGAGTCCACAGCGACAGGCTGTAGCGGCGGTGAAGACGGTCGAGGCGGAAACACAGGAGGGACAGCCAAGCGTGCAGAGCGGCGAGGGGTCACTGTGGCAGCAGGAGTCGGGTCACCCTCCTCAGCTGGGCCAGAGGTGTATGGGGAGACCTCCAAAGGCTCAACCAAGGGGGGTGGGTCTACCTGAGACACACCTGAGGGAGCGGGACCGTGAGGAGGGAGGGGGGCTACCGGGGGGGGGTCGTCCACCAGGGTGAGAGGCGGGAGGGGTACCGGGGAACTGCGGTGGGGGTGAAGACGGTAGAAGCAGACGGACTCGTCAAAGGTGACGTCCTGGGAGGACAGCACACGACGAGAGCCCAGGTGGTAAAACTGCCAGGGCGGTGCATCGGTGGGAAAGCCAAGGAACACGCACCGAAGAGTGCGTGGAGAAAGCTTGCCCGCAGGCAAGTCGCGGACAAGAGAGAGGGAACCCCAGACCCAAAACGCCGACGCATCACCAACCTCGCCCGTCCACCGCAAAGTGGGGGAGGTCTCCGGGTGGGAGACACGGGGCCAGAGGTTGAGCTGCTCAGCGGCGTATCGGACCACAAACGGCCACAGAAAATGGGGAGCAGCCGCATGGATCATGGAGGTGCGAGCAACCTCCATGACAAGACCAATGCGGCGCTCGGCAATCCCATTATGCTGTGGAGAGGCCGGAAGCGTGTACGTCTGGCGGATGCCCTCAGCACCACAGGTGGGAGCAAAACTCACCACCTCGGTCAGAGTGCAGCCGCAGGACAGGGAGGTCCTCACGGAACCGAGCGCGAAGCTGGAGACGAACAGCGCGGATCCAGCGGATCAAGACACCACGGAGATCCGCCTTGCTCTGCAAGGGGAAGACCGTGGTGTAGCGCGTGTAGTCGTCGACTACCAGCAAAAAGTAGCGCTCGCCACCCTGTCCAGTGACGCGGGCGGGGCCCCACACGTCCATGTGCAGGGTCTGCAAAGGAGCAGTGGTAGGAGGAAACGAGGAGTGAGGAGCGGCGCGCTGCCGCCCCTCGACGTAGGGAAGGCAGGGCGGTGCAAGCGACCTCGGGAGCGGGGGCAGGGACGTGGGGAGACTAGACACAAGGAGAGGGGAGTGCGTGCCACGCAGGCGTGGCAAGGAGGGGTGGCCAAGACGGTGGTGCCATAGGAGAGTCTGGTGCGTGAGGAGACGACATGAACAAGACGAGGCGACCTCAACCGACGCAGCTACCTGACCTGACTCAGCGACCGGTGCAGACTCAGTGGTCAGTGTGTACAGGCCAGACCCAGGCCTCCGAGTGAACGTGGCGAGGTGCTCACCAGTGCGCGAGTCCGTACAGATCGCCACTAGCTCGCCTCCAGGCTGGGTGACAGTGACCTACTGGTCCTGGAGGACAGAGGTAGCCACCAAGTTCTTAGCGAACGAGGGGAGGTGGAGACCTGTGAGGAGGCCGGAAGGGGCCGCCGGACAAGGGAGAACAGTGGCGCCACGCGCGACTACCGGGCCCCCTGAGGGGTCGGCCAGTGTGACAGGGACAGGGACTGTGAGCGGTGTGACTGTGATGCTGTCGCGGAAGAAGCAACGAGACGCGCCGGAGTCGAGAGTAAAAGTGTGCAAGGCCTCCTCAGGCTCTGCACTTGTGCTAGCTGAGTCAACAGCACCAAGACTAGCAGCCTCTACGCTACCAGGTGCCTCTCCACCCCCAGCACTAGTACCCGAAGCTCCGCCACCGGGGCTGCCCCACCGGACAGCCCACTCACGAAGCTGTTGCGGGGAGAGAGTCTCCGGCGAATGCTGCTGCCGCTTCTGTCCACCCCCAGAACCTCCGCGTCTACCAGCGGCACTACCAGCAGGAGTAGACTCACAGGGACCTCCAGTAGTAGCACACCAGGCTCCGCCACCGGGGCTGCCCCACCGGACAGCCCTCTTGCGAAGCTGCTGCGACGAGAGCGGCTCCCGCCGACGAGTACGAGGACCGCCAGCACCAACACCTCCAGCCGTAGCACGGCTAGCTCCGCCAGCGGGGCTGCCCCACCAGATAGCCCACTCGCGAAGCTGCTGCGGCGAGAGAGACTCCTGCACACTCGGCTGCCGCTGACGTAGGACAGTGGTAGTGGCCATGGCAGGCAGTGGTGTCAACGGGAGTTGTGGTTGGCCCCGTCCTCGCTTGGGCGGAGCCGACTTCGTAGTCGGGTGTGTGGGGAGCGCAGCCGATCTGTTGCAGTGAGGGCGCCGAGCTGGAGGGCGCCGAGCTGGAGGGCGCCGAACTGGAGGGCGCCTAGCTGGAGGGCGCCGAGCAGGAGGACGCCGACCTGGGCGCCTAGACGGCGTCCTGGGAGGCTGGACGCCGACTTTGGCGCCTGGACGGCGTCCTGGGAGCCTGGACGCTGACCTAGGCGTCTGGACGGCGTCCTGGGCACCTGGACGCCGACCTGGGGTGTCTGGACGGCGCCCTGGATGCCTGGACGCCGACCTGGGCGTCTGCACGGTGTCCTGAGCACCTGGACGCCGACCTAGGCTTCAGGACGCCGACCTAGGTGCTGGGACACCTCTTCTAGGGACGCCGGTCAGGTGTAGCCGGCGATCGACTGAGCTGGGCGACCAGGCGTGGTTTCCCGGTCAACCTGGATACCCGGGCGACATGTGCGAAGGTCGCCGGGGTGGACTCTGCGAGGCCGACCTCGGAAGTGGTATCCCGAGGTCGACGTGGCTGGTGGGCGCAGTCGCTGCCGTGGAGTCTGCTAGGCGCCTGCGGTGTGCTCGTGACAAGGTGTGGAGCACCAACCAGCTGCACGCACCTGCAAAGCAGGTGCACCGTTGTTCTGCGGGTGCAACGCTGTGCAGCCGACTTGCTGCAGCGTTGGCACACCGTGAACTTGCAACGTTGGCGAACCGCTACTCTGCAACGCTGGAGCGGTGCGAGCGCTGCTGCGCTGAAGCACGGTGTCCTGAGCACCTGGACGCTGACCTAGGCTTCAGGACGCCGACCTAGGTGCTGGGACACCTCTTCTAGGGACGCCGGTCAGGTGTAGCCGGCGATCGACTGAGCTGGGCGACCAGGCGTGGTTTCCCGGTCAACCTGGATACCCGGGCGACATGTGCGAAGGTCGCCGGGGTGGACTCTGCGAGGCCGACCTCGGAAGTGGTATCCCGAGGTCGACGTGGCTGGTGGGCGCAGTCGCTGCCGTGGAGTCTGCTAGGCGCCTGCGCTGTGCTCGTGACAAGGTGTGGAGCACCAACCAGCTGCACGCACCTGCAAAGCAGGTGCACCGTTGTTCTGCGGGTGCAACGCTGTGCAGCCGACTTGCTGCAGCGTTGGCACACCGTGAACTTGCAACGTTGGCGAACCGCTACTCTGCAACGCTGGAGCGGTGCGAGCGCTGCTGCGCTGAAGCGCAGTCGACCATGCTGCGCTGGAGGTCGACCAGCAGCCTAGCTAGCTCTGATGTAGTCTGTGATGCCAATGTTGTGACTACCATTGTTGTAAACTTTTGCTAGTGGAACTCTTGCCAAATTTCCTCGTGAACCAGCAGGTAGTTCAAGCACGAGTAAACGACTAAGTGAACGAACGCAGAGATCACAGGAGCACCCGTGCCTAGCCCGTAGTCTAGCTCCCGTTGATTCAGTTATCTCTGCAAGTGGCAGCTAGTAGCAGCAGCTGCGTAGCAGCAGTAGCACAGGCGGCAGTAGCAGGCGGTAGCACCTAGGGCGGCAGCAGCAGGCGGCAGCACCTAGGGCAGTAGCAAGCAGCAGCTCCTAGGGCAGCAGCACCTAGGCCTTTTTGTTTTTGTTTTGTTTTTTTTTTTCTTGAAGGCTTTAGCAGGGCGCGTTGGGCACTGGGAAGCAGGGCGCGCTAGCGCGCTGGGCAGCGGGGCGCGCTGGCGCGCTGGGCAGCGGGGCGCGCTGGCGCGCTGGGCAGCGGGGCGCGCTGGCGCGCTGGGCAGCGGGGCGCGCTGGCGCGCTGGGCAGCGGGGCGCGCTGGCGCGCTGGGCAGCGGGGCGCGCTGGCGCGCTGGGCAGCGGGGCGCGCTGGCGCGCTGGGCAGCGGGGCGCGCTGGCGCGCTGGGCAGCGGGGCGCGCTGGCGCTTTGGGCAGCGGGGCGCGCTGGCGCGCTGGGCAGCGGGGCGCGCTGGCGCGCTGGGCAGCGGGGCGCGCTGACGCGTTGGGCAGCGGGGCGCGCTGGCGCGCTGGGCAGCGGGGTGCGCTGGCGCGTCGGGCAGCGGTGCGCGCTGGCGCGTCGGGCAGCGGGGCGCGCTGGCGCGTTGGGCAGCGGGGCGCGCTGGTGCGCTAGGCAGCGGGGCGCGCTGGCGCGCTGGGCAGCGGGGCGCGCTGGCGCTCTGGGCAGCGGGGCGTGCTGGCGCGTTGGGCAGCGTGGCGCGCTGGCGCGCTGGGCAGCGGGGCGCGCTGGGGCGCTGGGCAGCAGGGCGCGCTGGCGCGTTGGGCAGCGGGGCGCGTTGGCGCGCAGGGCAGCGGTGCGCGCTGGCGTGCTGGGCAGCAGGGCGCGCTGGCGCTGTGGGCAGCAGGGTGCGCGTGCAGAGCGCGCGAGCAGGCAGGGCGGCGCAGCTGCAGGCAGAGCGCGCGCGAACAGGGCGGCACTCAGGCAGGGCAGTAGGGCGCTCAGTAGCAAGGCTGCTGGGCGCGCGCGGGCAGGGCAGTAAGGCGCGCGCTGGCGCTAGGCAGCAGGGCAGGAAAAAAATGTTTCAAGTCCGGGCAGGGCGGAACGTTCGGTGGGCCCTAAGGAAACAGTAATTAACTAGAATGGAGGGGTACAAACATACAAGTAGGAAACCCTAATGAGTTGTACCCCCTAATGAGTACCCCAATATAGCCTACAGTGATATATTACATTTGACAACAAGCGCACCTCCGGACTCCGTGCACCTGATGACTTGTGGCACCAGCGCCTTGGTCACCCCTCACGCGTGAGAATGAACAACTGCATCGAGGCAGGAGTTTTTGCGCCCGGCGCACTTTTACGCCCCGACGGCTTCGAGATAAGGACCACATCGCAGCCGCGCACCTACACAGTCTGCCCGGAAAAAGGCTGAGCCATCAGCCATTTCCGCTACTGGAAACTGGAACCAATCGCTACCCCAAGCTGCACAAGGTGTACAGCAATTTCCTCGTCGTCGGCCACTGCGGGCTTAACGACGAAGGGTATACGCTCACCTTCGTGGATGCGGGAACACGCTACGTGTGGATCGCGAACGTACAGTTTCGCAGTAGGGCGTACGATGTTTTCCGCCTCTGGCTGGCTCACGCGCAATGGCAGTTAGGGAAGAAGCTGCAGACCTGGCAGACCGACCGCGCAGCAGAGTTTCGCAGCAAGGAGATGCAGGACTACCTGGGGCAGAAGGGGATATCGCATCACATCTCACTCCCCTATGCGCATCCGCAACAGGGAGTCGCCGAGCGCACCAACCGCACACCCATGACGAAAGTGTGCGCGCTACTGAAGCAGTCGAAGCTCCCCGCAACCTACTGGCCGTATGCTATGCACCACGTCGTATGGGTGCACAATCTCCTCTCCACCACGGCCATCACGAGCAACATGTCGCCGCACGTGAAATGGACGGGCAAGAAGGGCGACACCTCCATGCTCTGTTTGTGGGGGTGCATAGTGCAGTACCGGCCCCCTACCTCGACCATCGGGAAGTTCACAAGCCGCGCGCGCTGGGGCATTCACCTCGGCATCAGCTACAAATATAAAGCCTGGATCATCCTCGACCTGCTCAGTAACAAAGTAACGTTCGCGCGCGATATTATCTTCTACGAGCGACCGAACCTCGCGCAGTACCGCGCGGACAAGCAAGCGGGCGCAAACCAGGTTTACGCGAACGATGGGCGCAGCTACGCTACCCCCGAAGATGAAGCCGCCGCGGCTATCTTGGACCAGGACAACACCAGCGAATTTCCCGACATCGATCGTCGCGACGACGACGACGACAGCGATGTTTCGCCTCCGGGACCTGCGGGAGGAAGGAGCAGGGACCCCGCACCCCCATCTCCGCCTGAGCCAGAAAGCGATGACGACGACGTGCAGGATGTCGTCCCGCAGCATCGCCATGACACCACCGTCTCTGGACTGCAGCTGCTGGGGCTTCACGCCGCCACTTCCACGGCTCCACGCATCATCGAGCCGAAAAAATCGCGACAGGCGCTGACGCGACCGCACAGCAAGGAATGGCGCGCAGCTATGGATGCAGAAATTAAAGCGCTAGAATCCCGCGACACTTGGGTGCTCGTCAATCGAGCAATAATCAAGGGAAGGCGGATCCTCTCGAGCAAGTCGGTCTTCTGTGTGAAAAACGCAGCTGACGGGTCCATTGAGCGCTTCAAGGCGCGCTGGGTCAATCGCGCCTATGACCAGAGGCATGGCATAGACTTCGACCAGACCTTCGCTCCGGTCAGTCGCCATACCTCCGTGCGGATTTTACTCGCCATCGCTGCAGCAAGGCACCTGCCGCTCCGCCAAATCGATGTGAAGAACGCTTTTCCTGTACGCGTTAGTGGATGCGGTGATTTTTGTGGAACAGCCGCACACCTACGGAGAGGGAGATCCACGCGTGTGTCTGCTGAAGAAATTCCTTTACGGGATCAAGCAAGTGCCGAGGCTCCGACAGCAGCACCTGCATAAAAATCTACTTGAAATAGGATTCACGCAGCTGCCGCACGACCCCGGGATGTATCGCCTCCATTTTTGCGGCGATTACATCCTGCTTACCGTGTACGTGGACGATTTGCTCTACACCGGGACGAGCCACACGTTGCTCGACCAGTTCGAGAAGAACCTGGCGATGCGCGTCGACATTACCACGAACCACGACGTGACGCAGTTCCTTAGTTGTTTGCTCGTGTTCACACTACTTGCGCATTCACGGGGAAATTTGGCAAGAGTTTCACTAGCAAGGATTGACAAGAATGGTCCACAATGCAAAGCAAACAATGGACTACATCAGATGCTAGCAAGCATGCAGGCCGACTGCCAGCGCAGCACGGCCGACCGCATTCCAGCACTGCATGGTCGACCGCGCTCCAGCAGTGCAAAGTCGCGGTCTGCCAATGCTGCAAGTCGTCGGCATGACAGCGCTGCAGCAAGGTGGCTGCACAGCATTGCACCCGCAGGACAGCAGCGCACCTGCAAAGCAGGTGCTCGCAGCTGGTTGGCGTGCTGCACCTCGTCACAATCACAGCGCAGACGCCAAGCTGACCATGCCAAGCTGACCATGTGCCCACCACTGCACCTGATCCTCCACGTCGACCTCGGGATACCACACCGAGGTCGCCTTCGCACGAACCCCCTGGGCGACTCTCGCGCACCCTGCAATGCCCGTCGCCCGGGTAATTGTGTCGACCGCGCAACCAGGTTGACGCCACCAGGTCGGCGTCCAGGCGCCCAGGTCGGCATCCAGGCGCCTAGGTCGGCGTCCAAGCGCCCTGGACGGCGTCCAGGCTCCCAGGACGGCGTCCAGGCGCCCAGGTCGGCGCCGAGGCGCCCAGGACGACGTCCAGGCGCCCAGGACGGCGTCAACATCCTCCCAGGTCGACCACTGCCCTCGTCGACCCCGGTTGAAGTCGGCCACCGGCGCCCGGCGTCGGTGACTTCGCAGTGGCCCCCGTGCAGGTCAACCAAGCCGTCGACCTGCGCGCCCAAGTCGGTGTCGCCCACTGCAGCAGATCGGCTGCACCTCCCGTACACCCGACCACGACGTCGGCTCCGCCCAAGCGAGGACGGGGCCAACACACAACTCCCGTTGACAGTTCCTGGGTCTTAATATCACCTACGCCCCTGAATTTATTAACCTCTCAGCTGCTAAGTGTGGTGAAACGCTTGAAAAGCGATTCAACATCTCTCCCGCACCAGTGTCAACTCCCTACCGCACGCCTGGACCGAGCTACAAACCCGACAACAGGGCCCTATCTCCCGATGGCCTTTACACCTACCAGCAGCAGCTGGGATGACTGCTTTTGCCTCAGTGACCTACATGCCAGACCTCTCCTACATTGCGAGCCAGCTGGCACAGTACTCGCGCAAACCAACGGCTGAGAATCTCCTAGATCTTCAGCGCGCTCTGCAATTCTTCATCTCAATGCCCAACATTGGGTTCTGCTACTCCACAGTCACAACTCCCTCTTTCAACCTCGTCGGCTAGGTGGATGCCGATCACGCCGCTGATCCCGACAATCAACGTCAAGAACCGGGTTCCTGTTCCGACTCGAACCAACAGGCCCCATTTCGTGGAACTCGCAGAAGCAGGAACTGGTTGCCATGTCATTAGCGGAAGCAGAATTCATCGCCGCGACAGCATCAGTTCACGAAGTACTCTATATACAGGAGCTCCTGCACGAGGCGAAAATTCCAACTTCGCCTACCTTTCGCAAGCACTGCGACAACCAGAGCACGATCAGAATCGCGAACAAGCCGGGATTTGTAAACCGCACCAAACACATCGCGCTGCGGTATTTCTTCGTCGAGGACGAAGTTGACAAGGGCAAGGTCGATCTGACCTATTGCCCAACCGGTGACATGGCAGCCGACTTCCTCAGCGACTGCCCCGTCAGCAGTATCAGCACTAATCCGAACTCAGCGGACTGGTCAAGCGAGTCAAGACTTGCTACGGCTAGGAATGAAGGGGGGTGTTACGAATAGTGAAATGAGAAACACCGAGCATTCCTATCAGTAGCAAGTGAAGAGTGCAAAAGCGAGTACGAAGGCGAAGGGTCACAACGACACAAAAAGTCGCGTACGGTGGGCAGCATCTGGACCGTCGGAGCAGAAGCATCAGGCAGCTGCAACACGAAGGATTTAGGTGGGAACAGGTTTGTAACCTTCTCGCATCGCACTCGGGCAGCTGCAGCACGAAGGATTCAGGCGGGAACATGTTTGTAGCCTTGTCGCATCGCACGGTTGAGTTTCGCTGCAAGAAGGGAATGTACCCCTTAGAGTACATGGCAAGTCTAGGTCGTTTCGAATTCCTTCTATATTACTATATAAACACGTGTATGCCTTTGTTCTAATCACTTCAGTCATTTTATATTCACTCTGACCTGAGGTCATTACTTCCGCTGCAATTCACTCTTTGCAAACCTTCCTGGGGTGATCCTAGGCACGATCAACTTTCTGATCGCAACACGAACGACGGGCTCGGCCCCATCTCCGAATCTGAGTTCACCGCCAACTTCCCGCTCATCAAACTATCTCCAGGCTACCGAGTCATATGTGTTGTTTTGGCAGCGGTCCCCTTACCTTGGAGGGACGAGATCCGAGCCCCCTCCCTTCCCTCTGCTTCC